GGGGAGCATTTTGTGGGGCTACACCGGCAGGGGGGGGCTCATTAGCATAGGGCCGGGCTGCGGCGGCGCGGCTGGCTGGTGGTAGCGCCGGGCTGGCAGCTCCTCCTCCCCCTCCCCGCGCTCAGCATGGCGGTCAAGGTGACTCTGCTCCTCCGTCGCTTGTTGCATAAGGAGCCGGGTGTTGCGGGCGGCCAGTGTGGGGCCGGCGGGGGATTTGCGGCGGCGGCTGCGGCTGCTGCTCTGTGGGCCTGATACCCGGCAGCGGCCCCCAGAGAGCAAGGGGTCGGGGGAGCAACCCTGTGGAAGGGGGCGATGGGGTGTGAGGGAGATGGGAGGGGGAAGAGAGCGCCCCCCACCCCGGGACAAGGGGTGTGTGGGAGGGGGGAGAGAGCCCCTCGGGGGCAGGGGCGAGTAGTGGGAAGGAAGGGAGCAGCTTTGGGGGGAAGGGTCCTGTGGTGGGGGATGGGAGGGAGCAGGTCTGGATGGAAAGGTCCTGTGGTGGTGGTGGCAGGGAGCAGCTTTGGGGTAAGGGTCTGTTGTGGGCAGTGTGGGGGTGAGAGCAGCTCTGGGGGTATTGCGGGTGAATAGAGTAGCTCTTTGGGGAGTTTTAAGAACAATGCATTTCACTTGGAAAAATATTGATGATTCTTGTTGGGTATGCTTGTTGTTCTGTTGCACATAGTCAAGCCAAAGGTGTAAAATGTGTTTGTTTAGTGAGGTTTTTAGCCTACAGGTATAGCCTGGATGCTGGTGCATGTGCTTGAACTTTTCAGCGTCCCAAGGTCTTCCCAATTGTTTGTCTGAACTAGAGTGTGGTCATGTTTTAATTCAAGTTATCTAAGACAATTATAAATGCAAGTGAAGACACTTCACAAGTGTTAAGTATCAGAGGGGTAGCCGGGTTAGTCTGAATCTGTAAAAAGCAACAGAGGGTCCTGTGGCACCTTTAAGACTAACCAAAGTATTGGAGCATAAGCTTTCGTGGGTGAATGCCCACTTCATCAGATGCAAGACTTAAGTGTTACTGCAATTCCTTCTGCTAAGGGCAATTTCTACCATTTGGGGCAGTGGAGATACTGTTGCTCCTGACATTTGGGTCTGTTTCACTGTCTCCCTTGTTCTCAGACAACAGTTACTGAGTTTGACAGCTATCACTTCTCCCTGAATTGTTTTAAAGTTAAGCAATGAAAACTTAGATTTTAATGTTTGGGATTCTGTTTATCAGTTAGATAAGAGACCTGACATTTATTACCCTTATCAGCATAGATTGCATGAGGATTCCCTACACTACAAGTCAATTACCTAGCTAGTAAAGCATTAACTTTCTTTTCTTGACTTTACAGGTGCAAACAACCAAAAGAGCGGATCCCAATGAGCTACGGAACATATTTTTGCAGGTAAACTGATTTATTTGATTGACAGTTATTTCTTTAAGGGTATGTCTTCTCTACCAATGTTAAAGCACTGCCACGGAAGCGTTTTAACGTGGCTGTGTAGTCGCGGCACCAGCCCAGCGCTGTAAAAAACCACCCCCACGAGGGGAGTAGCTACCAGCTCTCGGAGTGCGGCTCCCCAGCGCTGGTGCACTGTCTACACTGCCACCTTACAGTGCTGAAACTTGCATCGCTTAGGGGGGTATTTTTTCACATCCTTGTGCGAGAAAGTTTCAGAGCTGTAAAGTAGCAATGTAGACAAGGCCTAACCCTTGATATGCTAGGGAGGGGTGGTTGCTATGGGGAGTGGTTACTATGGCAGGGCAATTGCTATGGGGGAATGGTTGGTATGTCAAAGTATGTGACACACATTTTATGTCGCACTCGGATCTTTAAAGTTCACATTATTTATATTGTATGTCAAAAGACCCTTTTAGGTTTGAGTGGCATTAAGGTAAACTGATACTGAAACAAGTTAGGTCTTAATACTTCTTTCCTTCAAATATTTTTGAAATAGTTACAACATTTCCTCTATAGCAGAAAAACAAAACCCCAAACCCTAAGCTGCATTATTTTTTTAAGTTATACTTTTCAAGATAATTAAAAAGCTCTACTTTGAAAGTGGTTTTATACTGTGGATTTTACTTTAAGGATTTTTCTGATTCTCTTATAAAAAGGTTGGACTATAGTTAAGAGTCGTAAAAAAATCTATTGTGTGTGTGTGTGTGTGCGTGCGCGCTGGTCTGTTTACATCATGTCACTTTCTTAGTATAGGGTTCCATAATTGGTATGTTTATATTGAATTACTGGAAGCTTTTTTCTCCACTCCTCTCTGATTTCCCTCAAGCCGTCAGAAAGATAATTCTAAAAGGAAAACATAAAATTATGAAAGTAAGATTTTGTAAGATTGATGTGATCAAATGTGGGGCAGTGTCTTTGGTCCTTGATTGTGTCTCTTAATATTTTAAATATCTTTCCATGTAAAAAGGATATTTCCCTTACAGTCAGAAATTCTCAAGTAAAACACTTTAGCTAGAATACAAGAAATGAAAGTAATTTTAAATTAAGGAGTTTCACTGGAAATAAGACTGTAATAACACAAGTCACCTTTATGTCACCCTTGACATATGCCCTTTGATGCTGTATTATCAAGTTCCCAGATGTGCTAAGCAGCCAAGAGACCCTTTTGGCTGAGAGAACTAATTATATCTAACCATCACATTTTTTCATAGATGGTTAATTTGAATACAGGAGTGGGTGCTAAAAATTGTAATGTTATATTCAAATGATTGTCTAATTTTTTAATATCTGATATACCACGTAAAGTTTTTTTTCCCCGGCCCCCAGCATAAAAGCATAAACTGGAGGTGTAGTAGTTAGTCTTAAAGAGTAAGATAGTTAATTTATTGAAGTACAAATGAGTATCAGATATCTAAAAGCTGTTTTATTGGCTTGTGGACTTCTGGTAGTTAAACAGACCGTCAAACAAACATTTTGCCAGTCATACACAAGACTTGAAACATGACTGGGTTGTTTTCTGACATTTGACGTATTGAACTTTTTGCATAATCTTATTCTGTTCAACTGGAATGCTCTGTATAATGCAGAGCATATGTGATTCTTGTCTTATGTTGTGTTTTGAAGTAGGAGTTTTTGTTGCTGAAATGAAGTAAATTATTTGAAGTCATGTATGTAGTATTTTTTTATCCTTACAGTGATGCTAAATCTGTAAGTTCTCGATATGAAGTTAAATATTTTACTGGCAGATAGGCAGTTTGTTTTTAAAAAGTCTTAATTCCACAAGTTCTACAACAGATATGCAAACCACTTTGTTTTGTGCACATGAGAAATGAAGATGTAATGGCTGCCATATTATTTTTCTTGCATATCTGAAACTTGCAATAAAAAATCTGTAGGAACTTAAACATTTTAAATTGTTTAATATTTAGAGGTACATCAAATTAAGAAAAAGTTATGGGCATAGAAAGAGATCTTCTTGTGTTTCTTTTTGATAATTTGGCAAATTACACAAGTTTGAAATCCTGTTCATGCAATGTTGGTAGGTTATAAATAAACTTACCGTATTTATAATTTTGTTTATCACAACAGAAACTCTCCAGACAAAAACAAATAGAACTTTGTTGAGAAATATTGTTAGTGTTACAACACATTTCATAGGTCAGATATGTTGTGCTCTTTGCTGAGAGTGCAAGTCTGTTCCATGTTGTTCAGCTAAAGGGCGTGCATTCCTGCCTAAATTTGGCTTCCCTTGAAAATAGACACAAGTAACGATGTGGATCATGAAGAGGAATAGAGTTCATGTGTTCACCTTGCACTGTGGTACAGGGTGTCCTTATCCTTCCTCCTGTTCACATGATATATTCTACTAAATGTTACCATCCAATTCACATTAATATATTAGTGTGTATGCTGTGCATATATTATCAGAATTTCTGAAGCTTGGTGTAAGATTTTGTTTAAATTATTAAAGTGTTAGCAGTAAATCTTTTTATTTTTAGAGAACAAAAGCTTAAAGGAACAAAACAAAGGAGAAGTTGAAATGGAGAGTAGGAGGGCCACAGATCTCTTTAGGACAGTGTTTATCTAATTTCCTGGTGAACCTCCGTTTTTTTTTCTTAGAGGAGATGCAGTTAAATGTGGAAAGTATCTGGTTGAATGAGTCCCTGTCGGTTGAACCCAAAATGGAACTGAATCAGCAAGAAGGAAAAAGGAACGTTACCCTTTTCTATTTATTTAAAACACAGTACCATTTTTTTCCATTAAAAGTCCATTTTCTCAAATCCATTGCACCTGATTTAATGAGAATGATGAGAGGGATACCAGTGAATTTTTTCTTCTGTAAAGGATAAAGTTTGGAGGGCTAGAGGAAATATTAATTTAGGTTGAAAACCAATGTGATGACATCTAACTGTATGTTAAAAAGACAGACTGTGCTTAGCTTAGACATGTTATGTTGTGGTGATAGAAAACAAGATGTTCAAATTAATTAAATGCTCAGTTTTGAATTATCCTTTTTATGTGTGATAAGCATTCTCTTTTGCAAAGAAATAATTTGGAATTGAAGAATCAATTTTTAATTTTAGTATAAAGTTTAATGTGTAAGAAAGTACATTTATTTTAATTTTGGGGTAAATTAAATAACTTTATATCTATATCTATATCTATATCTATATATAGATATATATCTATAGATATATATATAGATATATATCCGAGTTTAGTCAAACATTTTATTTTTTTCATGCTAAGAGATACTTGCCTTATAGGTTGCATCGCAGAAAGGTCACTTGGGGCCAGATACTATGAATTTATAAATACATGTCAAAAGTGAAAGGCTTACCTACTTTGTCACTCTTTATTATGTTGGCTTTTTTGCCAGCACCTTTTCTAAATACAGTATCATGACTTTCTCATATGGAGCTGAAAATAATCTGTCAGGTTTCATTCATTTCATTCATTCATTCATTAATTTGTATCAAAAATAAATTCCAAAACAGTTTCTTTATTGTAAAATAATTTTCACAATGTAATAAAAATAGTTTGATTAGTTTGTTTCTAAATAAATAGGACAATTATGTTTACAGTATTATATGTTTAAATGTTTACTGTCTTTCATGTGCCCTTGACTGCATGCTCCCTCTTTTATAACTGAATTCTGCTGCTGTTGTGGATATTTTCAGTACCCTGTATGTTCTATGATCTTGCATATGCAGAGTTTACAGTGGAATGCACTCCCTGCACCAGAATCATGCTTCATAATCTAAGGTTTTTATTATTTTAAAATGGAAGGGTAACCTTAAGACGGTGTTGCAATGACATTTGCCTGAGTTTGCAAACATGCAGGAACCCTGAAACAATAGCTCTGATAAAGTGTGAACTACCCTGTTCATTTTAATGGCGTGTTAATTCTTAAATCTAAGACAACAGTTTATTTGTCACATGGTGAGTCCCACATGCCCCAGTCAAAATAAGGGCCCATTTTGCTAGCTTTCGTACAAATACATAGACAGATGTGGTCCTTGGTCCAAAAACTTTGCAGTCTAAGACAAGACACAAGTGGATGTAACAAACAAATAGGAGAAGATGGATGAAGATAATAATTATAGGTTTGTAGTCATTTAAAGTTTGTTTATTATTTCTAATTACAAGGAATAAATTTAAATGTTAGCTTTTAACCATGTCACTGCTGATAATTTTAATAGCAGTATACATCTAATATTCTTCTTAACCCACAGTCCCAAACAATTCCCACACTTTCTCTGGAGCCAAAAGCCCTGCCTTTCTCTTTCTCAGATTTTGAAACCTCCAGCTTCTCTGATAACTTCTGTGATGCAGTTATGGATAGTCAAAACAAAAATATATTTTCAGTACAAAAAAACCTATGAAACATTGAAGACTAAAAATGTGGACCACAGCTTACTGTAATTTGAATGTAACAAAAGTAAACACTAGGGCTACTGTACTTATTGCTGTATTCATTTTGTTTAATATGCCAAAACACTCCAATTATTTTAAACGGAGCTACTTCAGAATTTCCAGTATGCCAACCAGAGATCTGCACATGCATGGGAGCCTTGCTGCAGAAATTAGATTCCGCGTATACAGGGGCCTATAGTGTTTTTCTTAAATGGTGTGTGCGCATCAGAGTATTATAAAAATACTGAGACGCATGGCTAGAAAGGGTTAAGCATCCTGCAAAATAAATAACTCTCAAAAGACATATAGGGAGCTAATGTTTGTGTTTTTGTGTATTTACATATGTATAAGTAGGGTGGATAATGTAATCAACAGTCCGTGTCTATGCTGTATTCTGATAATTCAGAGGTCAAAAGAAAATCATATATTGTAAATTGAGTGTAAACTCGGGATATCTTAGTATTAATCTCTCTTTGAAATGTATTGTGAATGGTGGAGGAACAAGCAAATGGCCTTATGTTAATTCGTATCTCTAAGTACCAGTGATGGACCTCCTTCAGTCATCCTAATTACCCTTTGTTTCCTGAGGAATTCCAACTTGTCAAAAGACATGAAATTGTATAAAAGATCCTGGGGTCCTGATTTTGTCATCTTAGGTCTGCTTAAGCTTCACCAGGGGTAGTTTGAGTCGCAAGACTGAGGTCCCAGTTATGCCCTGAATATGATATTTGGACATTGGACTGTGACCTATTAATTGAATTCTAAAGGAACTCTTTGCAACTACAAAGCTCACCATCTCTACTATGAATCTGAATCTTAAGAATTGAACTCATGTCTGTATGTATATTGATCTTTTAATCATACTCCCTCTCTTTTGGTTTTTAATAAATTTTAGTTTAGTTAATAAGAATTGGCTGTAGTGTGAATTTGGGTAAGATCTGAAACATTCATTAATCTGGAAGGTAATGTGTCGGATCCTTTGGGATTGGTAGAACCTTTTCTTTTATATGATGAAATAAGATTTACAGAAATTTTCATCATATTTGACGTGGGATGGAGGCCTGAGGCTGGATCACTTTAAGGGAGCTGTGTTGTTTGGACTTCTGAGTAATCAGTAAGGTAATAAAGAAGCTGTTTTATGCTGGCTTGGTGAATCTAAGTATTGGAATATCCACCAGCTTTTGGGGGTTTGGCTGCCCCATTCTTTGCAGTTCACCCTAATTGAGTGACCATAGCTGGCTCCCCACTAGGACCCCGGTCACAATGGCGTAGTCATGCTTGGATACACATTACCACAGGTTAATTGGGATTTTGAATCAGAACCATACGCTTGTCAAAATTAAATTTTGACATTGGAGAGTTTAAGGGTTAAAAATCAGTTACAGTGAGTGACCCATGATCAAGATCCTGACAGAAAATGCCTGGAAGAATTGTGCTTACAGAGAGGGTTGTATTTTAACAAAAGGCCCCAGAGCAGGAACTAAAAAAATCTGTTAATTGCCAGTGATAAGGAAGCAGACCCAGTGAAAATGCTTGCACTGAGAAACTAGCAGCTAGAACTTGACCAAAAGCAAAAAATAGCTAATATGGAAGGAGAAGCTGCTGAAAGAGAATGCCTGTGTTTTGAACATGAACAAAGAATGGCATAAATTTGATTGCAGGAACTAGAAGCTAAGGCAGAAGTGGACAGACTTAAGCTCCAACTCAAGAGAATAAAAGAACAACAGGAACTGTATCATTCTGGAAAGCCAGCTCCTCTCAACAGCAAAGATGGGGATATAATCTGTCCAGTTTGTAACAATGTTGGTATGTTGTTTGACTTTAAGCAGTTGTCTGTGTGTAACCAAATTTACCCCAACACTGCCACCTTTTATGTAAATGCTTTTACAGTGAGTTTGGGTGAAGGTAATCCCATAACTCATGCAGAGAATGTAAAAGTCAATGGTAAAGCTGTTCAGGGCAAATTACAACTTCTAATATCACTCTTCTTAAAACGGAGTTTGTCAAAGAAGATTATTTACCAAATTAGAGTGTGAATATTGTAATCCTCTATGAGTTTATCGTAAGTGTGCCTTTAACTAGAATCCATCTTGAATGGAATGGTGTTAAACATTGTTATAGCTGGTGTAAGGAAGTTATTGCCTAAGGATCTTTTGACTGGGGATGATATTAAAACTTTGTTCAGTCAAGTTGATAACATAAACCACTCACAGGAAAGAAATAATCCTGAACCTGTGTCTACTGGGGCAAGGATTTGCCTATGGAGGGTTTCTCCAGATGTTTGTATGAGGAAGATAGCTGTTTATCTGTGCAAAGAAGTAGTGAATATGTGGAAAAAATTCCTAATTGGTATCTCAGAAGTGAATCTGGTATTAGATAAGGCTCAGGGAGATGTTTCTCTAGAGCAAATTAAAGTTGGTGATCAGTTTAAAGCCCTAATTGAGGAAGAAAAGGGTAATTTTTTTGTTGGCTAGTAAAGCTTGGGAGAGTAAGTCTGACCCAGGTAAAAGTGATGTGCTTAAAGTAGCTCAGTGTAATAAGACACTATTTGTAGAAAACAGCAGTTTATCTGTGTCACGGAGTGTGGGGGAGTTAGCGCCCTGCACCACTCTTCCTGAGATTTACCGTGACTCTCAGCCAGCCAGTAAAACAGAAGGTTTATTAGATGACAGGAACGCAGTCCCAAGCAGAGCGTGTAGGTACAACCAGAACCCCTCAATCAAGTCCTTCTGGGGGGGTTAGGGAGGTTAGACCCCAGCTTGTGGTTCCCTGCGTTGCACCACCCAGCCCAAACTGAAACTAAAAAAACTCCTCCAGCAGCTTTCTCCCCCGTCCCCTCTCCTTTGTTCAGTCTTCCGGGCAGAAGGTGTCACTTCTCCCAACCCCCTTCCTGGCTCAGGTTACAGCTCAGGTAGCTTCCTTCAAGGGAAGTCCCCCACCCGCAATGCAACTTCCCTGCAACATTCCCAGGTCAGTCCGCCCCTCTCCTTGCTCTGTCACAATCTGTTAAGGGAGGGAAAGGCAAAGAAAGTTTAGATGAGCATAGGCTGCCTTCTGAGCTGATGGCTTTGTCTCATCAGCAGTTTGGGAAGGCAAGGTTAGTGGAACATGAGTATCCCTATACCTTACCTGTTACCAGTGTGGAGAATTGTGACAGTGAAGGAAATGTTCCTGTGTCTGTTAGGGGTAATGACTTTCCTATGAAGGGAGCTACCCCAATCTCCAAGCAATTGTCCATGAACATCCATATGTGCTGGGACAAAGGAAAGGATATCCCAAGCTGTTTGTCTGTTAAAGGGGAATGTGTCTCCAGTGCTTTTCCGTCTGTCTGTACAGCAGACAGAAGAAGCCTGTCAGCCTATGATGGTTGAAAATTTATCAGTTGACCCAGAGCTGATTCTGGATACAACTAAAGCCCAGGAAGGAAGTGGTCTTGAATTTGTGTCTGCTAGGGATGATATTATAACTAGGTTGCATCCAGTTAATGTCATAAATAGCTCCCAGAGACCAAGCGATTCTGGTGCTTCTATTTTGCCTGTTGCTAGTATGTTGCTGGGTAAAGATATGACAACCTTGTCTGATCAGGGTGATATCATAGCCAGGGCACAAGGAAAGCATGAAGGTAATTTGACTGTTTATCCACCGATAGTGTGGAAACTTGTAATAAGGAAGAGAATGCTTCTAATCTTGTGACTATGAAGTCTAGCAGTTTACCTGAAAAGGAGTTCGTGAAAATCCTCCTAACGGGACAGAGGTGATTCTGGATTTAAGTGAAACCCAGAAAGTGTCTGTCGTTGCTCAGGAAAACGTTCCTTTAGAGCAAGTTCTAGGTGAAAAGGGTAAGGGCAGAATTTCTGTGAAAAATGGGTTGTTGCTTAGAAAAATTCCTGAAGAGAAAAAATCTTCAGGGTAGTTTTTGCAAGCAGTTTGCTGCAACTAATGGGCATGGAAGTGATTTGATTGAGTTAACTCAGGGTGAATCACTGTATAGAGAAAGCAACAGTGTTGTTTGGGAGATTTGTTCCAGTTCCTAACTGCCAGAGTCTTTCTGAGTTGCATAGATCCTCTGACTTTGCTTTAGAAAGACCCAATGTGGATATCTTTGAAAAGGTTTCAAATGAAATAAAAATTGTTAGGGAATTTAAACAGCCCTATAAGCTTAACCAGCTTGTTGGGGAGACAATGTTGTTGGAACATGAATGTCTCCATGTTGATACTTTTTAAGTAAGCAGTCTGTGACTCAGGCACTGAGGAAAGACCGGGTTACTGGGTTACAAGGATGTGGGGGAGAGTAGGCAAACTTTCATCTCTAGATATTTTGGATATGACTTGTAGTCTCTTAGCCCTGGTCTACACTACGAGTTTAGGTCGAATTTAGCATCGTTAGATTGATTTAACCCTGCACCCGTCCACACAATGAAGCCACTTTTGTCGACTTAAAGGGCTCTTAAAATCGATTTCTGTACTCCTCCCTGACGAGGGGATTAGTGCTGAAATCGACATCGCCAGGTCGAATTTGGAGTAGTGTGGACGCAATTCGACGGTATTGGCCTCCGGGAGCTATCCCATAGTGGTCCATTGTGACCAATCTGGACAGCACTTTCAACTCAGATGCACTAGCCAGGTACACAGCAAAAGCCCTGGGAACTTCTGAATTTCATTTCCTGTTTGGTCAGTGTGGCGAGCTCATTAGCACAGGTGACCATGCAGTCCCAGAATCGCAAAAGAGCTCCAGCATGGACCGAACAGGAGGTACTGGGTCTGATCACTGTTTGGGGAGATGAATCCGTGCTATCAGAACTCTGTTCCAAAAGACAAAATGCCAAAATATTTGAAAAAATCTCAAGGGCATGATGGACAGAGGCTACAACAGGGACCCGCAGCAGTGCAAAGTGAAAATTAAGGAGCTCAGGCAAGCCTACCAAAGAGGCAAATGGCCGCTCCAGGTCAGAGCCCCAGACATGCCTCTTCTATGATGAGCTGCATGCAATTCGGGGGTGGGGGGGTTTCCACTATCCCACCCCTGTCTGTGGACACCTGCAAGGGGGGAGTCTCATGCAACAGGGATGAGGATTTTGGGGATAGCGCACAGCAGGCAAGCAGAGAAACCATTCTCTCCGACAGCCAGCAACTGTTTATCACACTGGAGCCAATACCCTCCCAAGGCGGGCTCATGGACCATGAAGCTGGAGAAGGCACCTCTGGTGAGTATACCTTTGTAAATATAATGCATGGTTTAAAAGCAAGCATGTTTAATGATTAATTTTCCCTGAAGACTTGGGATGCATTCGCGGCCAGTACAGCCCCTCCTTTTAAATGGCCAACCCAACGGGTGCTTGGTTTGGGAAAGGAGGGCACTGCTGTTTGAAACCATTCCCACATGTTATGAAGGTTGAAGAAGCCGAAAAATTGTGGCTTACCATGGCTGCCTGCAAGCCGAATTCTGTTGCCCGGCCCTGCATGTGTGATCTCTCACACCAAACCGGCAGGCCCTCAATATCAGAGGCAAAATGCGACCTTGTATCGAAAGCATATATGCTATGTAATGTTAACAGCTTGGCTCACCGTGAAAGAGTCTACCCATTGTTCTCTAAAATGTGTCTTTTTAAATACTACTTTCCCTTTTTTTCCTCCCGCAGCTGGAAATGTTTCAGTGCTCCCCCATCATCTCCGTCTCAGAGGCTAGCGCATTTAAGAAGGCAAAAAAAATCCACTTGCAATGAAATGTTCTCTAAGCTCGTGCAGTCCTCCTGCACTGAAAGCGATCAGCAGAATGCATGGAGGCAAACAATGTTAGAGTCCAGGAAAGCAGAAAATGAATGCGAGGACAGGGGGGACGAGTGAGATGAGAGGTGGCGGGAGCAAGATGAGAGGTAGTGGCAGCGCGATGAGAGGAGGCAGGCTGCAATGCTGAGGCTCCTGGGGGATCAAACTGATATGCTCCAGTATCTGGTGGAGCTGCTGGAAAGGCAGCTCAGACCGCCGCTGCAGGAAAGGAGCACAGGCTGCCGCTGCAGCCCCTGTGTAACCGCCTGCCCTCCTCCCCAAGTTCCATAGCCTCCTCACCCAGATGCCCAAGAACGTGGGGGGGGGGAGACTCCGGGCACCCAACCATTCCACCCCAGAGGACTGCCCAAGCAACAGAAGGCTGGCATTCAATAAGTTTTGAAGTGCAGTGTGGCCTTGTCCTTCCCTCCTCCCCTCATCCACCACCCCACCCAGTGCTTCCCTCCTCCCCTACCCCTCCCGGGATACCTTGGCAGTTATCCCCCTATTTGTGTGATAAATTAATAAAGAATGCATGATTTTGAAACAATCAGGACTTTATTGCCTCTGCAAGCGGTGATCGAAGGGGGGAGGGTGGTTGGCTTACAGGGAAGTAGAGTGAACCAAGGGGGCGGGTTTTCATTAAGGAGAAACAAACAGAACTGTCACACCGTAGCCTGGCCAGTCATGAAACTGGTTTTCAAAACTTCTCTGATGCGCAGCGCGCCCTGCTGTGCTCTTCTAATCGCCCTGGTGTCTGGATGCATGTAATCAGCGGCCAGGCGATTTGCCTCAACTTCCCACCCCACCATAAATGTCTCCTCCTTACTCTCACAGATATTGTGGCGCAAGCAGCAATAACAATGGGAATATTGGTTTCACTGAGGTCTGAGTCAGTAAACTGCACCAGCGAGCTTTTAAATGTCCAAATGCACATTCTACCACCATTCTGCACTTGCTCAGCCTATAGTTGAACAGCTCCTTCCTACTGTCCAGGGTGCCTGTGTATGGCTTCATGAGCCATGGCATTAAGGGGTAGGCTGGGTCCCCAAGGATAACTATAGCCATTTCAGCATCCCCAACAGTTATTTTCTGGTCTGGGAAGTAAGTCCCTTCCTGCAGCTGTTCAAACAGACCAGAGTTCCTGAAGATGCGTCATGTACCTTTCCCGGCCATCCCACGTTGATGTCGGTGAAACCCCTTGTGATCCACCAGTGCTTACAGTACCATTGAAAAGAACCCCTTATGGTTTGCATACTGGCTGCCAAGGTGGTCCGGTCCCAAGACAGGGATTTGCGTTCCGTCTATCGCTCCACCACAGTTAGGGAATCCCATTGCAGCAAAGCCATCCACTATGACTTGCACATTTCCCAGAGTCAGTACCCTTGATAGCAGCAGCTCAGTGATTGCGTTGGCTGCTTGGATCACAGCAGCCCCCGCAGTAGATTTACCCACTCCAAATTGATTCCTGACTGATCGGTAGCTGTCTGGCATTGCAAGCTTCCAGAGGGCTATCGCCACTCGCTTCTCAACTGTGAGGGCGCTCTCATCTTGGTATTCTTGCGCTTCAGGGCAGGAGAAAGCAAGTCACAAAGTTCCATGAAAGTGCCCTTATGCATGCGGAAGTTTTGCAGACATTGGGAATCATCCCAGACCTGCAACACTATGCGGTCCCACCAGTCTGTGCTTATTTCCCGGGCCCAGAATCGGCGTTCCATGGCATGAACCTGCCCCATTACCACCATGATGTCCAAATTGCCAGAGCCCGTGGTTTGAGAGAAGTCTGTGTCCACGTCCTCATCACTATCGTGATCGCACTGTCGTCGCCTCCTCGCCTGCTTTTGCAGGTTCTGCACATACTGCAGGATAACGTGCGAGGTTTACAATGGTCACAACAACAGCGGTGAGCTGAGCGGGCTCCATGCTTGCCGTGCTATGGCATCTGCAGGAGAGCAGAGTTGCAGCAGAAGTGGTGGATGACGATAGATGCCATGAGAATAGATATTTATACTGAACGACGAGAGGACCTGTGAAGTGGATTCATGGCACCAGGAGAGCAGAGTTGCAGCGAAAGCGGTGGATGACTGAGGTCATTTACTCTGTTGAGCTCAGTCATCATTTTACTCAGTTGAGACTGAGCTCATTTACAACAGCAGGAGAGCAGAGTTGCAGCGGAAGTGGTGGATGACGATGGTTTGCAGACCTACTGCACTGTCTGCTGCCACCAGCACCCATGGCACAACAGCAGCAGTGATGGTGAGCTGAGCTGAGCAGGCTCCATGCTTGCCGTGGTATGGCGTCTGCACGGAAGAAAGGCGCAAAACGATTGTCTGCCGTTGCTTTCACGGAGGGAGGGGCGACTGACAACATGTACCCAAAACCACCCGCGACGATGTTGTAAATGTACACATGTGATAGAACTGATGTTATTGCTAATGATTGTAACTAACTTGTTGCTGATACGAAGAACTATAAAAATGTACAATGTGCATGGTCTTTTGGAAAAGCCCTTGAACGTGTTAAGAGTGGTACATAATTGAAACCCTTATGATTATGCTCTTTGGTTTAACAAGAACACACTTCGTGTTAAAAAGTCTAATCATGTTGAGGCTTCACAGCTAATGCTTAGACATATTTCTAAAACTTTTCACAGCAGAAAATACACTACAAGCTTGAACTGCTGTGCACAAAGGGAAATTGAGGTACAACACCTCACAGCCTTCAGGGCTGAATGCCAGAGTAAGTGCTCTCTGAAGAACATTAATGGCTATGTTAAGTTAATACATAGACCAAACCCTGGAATCACTAAAGTGTTTCACAAAGTATGGGCTAAGTTTTTGGCTGGGGCCAAAGCATGCATCATAATTTGGCCTTACAAAGAATTCAATGTAAACACAGCTCATATCAATGTGGGCAGATCCTTAAGGTGTATCCAGGAGCTATAATTTCGCCCTTCCACACCAGTCTCACGTTGGAAGTGTGATTCATGGCTAGAAAGGGTTAAACATCCTGCAAAATAAATAACTCTCAAAAGACATGTAGGGACCTAATGTTTGTGGTTTTGTGTATTTACATATGTATAAGTAGGGTGGACAGTGTAATCAACAGTCCCTGTCTATGCTGTATTCTGATAATTCAAGGTCAAAAGAACATCCTATCATGTAAATGAATTGTAAACATGGGATATCTCAGGATTCATCTCTCTTTGAAATGTATTGTGAATGGTGGAGGAACAAGCAAATGGCCTTATGTTAATTTGTATCTCTAAGTACCAGTGATGGACCTCCTTCAAAGTCATCCTAATTATCCTTTGTTTCCTGAGGAATTCCAACTTGTCAAAAGACATGAAATTTTATAAAAGATCCTGGGGTCCTGATTCTGTCATTTCAGGTCTGCTTAAGCTTCATCAGGGGAAGTTTGAGTCGCAAGACTGAGGTCCCAGTTATGCCCTGAATATGATATTTGGACATTGGACTGTGACCTATTAATTGAATTCTAAAGGAACTCTTTGCAACTACAAAGCTCACCATCTCTACTATGAATCTGAATCTTAAGAATTGAACTCATGTCTGTATGTATATTGATCTTTTAACCATACTCTCTCTCTTTTGGTTTTTTAATAAATTTTAGTTTAGTTAATAAGAATTGGCTGTAGCGTGTATTTGGGTAAGATCTGAAATATTGACAAATACCCAAAAGTCTGAAAATTGTTATATTATGAACAAGTGTAGTATCACTTTTTAATATCTAATGCTTCTATAGGGATAGCGGTAGGGTCTGCATCCTGCCTTTGCAAGGGGATTGGACTAGACTATCTAAGTATGTTCTGCCTCAGATTACTGTGGTCCTAAAACCAGGCATTTCCTCTCCTTTTTTTCTCCAAGAAGTTCTAGAATTATAAACATTAAAGGGATAATGTCAAGACTGTTAATGTGTCCTGACATTAAATAAAGCCTGGTCACTTGACTGAAGATGGTGCACTATAAGGAGGAATCTACGAAGGCTCTAGTTTGCTTCTGGCAAGTTACAAATATGGCCCTTAATTGGGTGAAGTTTGAACTTCCTATTATTTGTCAAATACGTATGGGTTCCTGCTCTTCATGTTTGTATTTGGAGGAGGTCGGAGTTTGTTTTGTTTTTGAGGAAAAATCTAGTTTTCTTATTTGTTCTTTAAATCAAACTGACTGATATGCTTATGAATCAAGCTTTTACAAATTCAATTATACCTATTGGAATGATCTTTTATTAATAATCTGAATAAAGACTTAATGAAAAGACTGGGTACAAAGTGCTTTTCTGGAATTTGTGAGATCTTAGGCTCTTGTCTTTTTTAGAAGAAACACACTCACTGAGTCAATTTCTACATTGACAATACCTATAATTGAGCACTCTGATCTTATTTATTCAGTGTGCACTGGCAGACTGTTCCAGAAGAGCCTCAGATTTTTGTAAATATTTCACAGTCTTGGGGCTTGTGAAAAATAGTTATTCTTTTATATTTAAATATGTTTGCTCAAGAACGATTGTGTAAAATAAATGGTGGTCATAGGAAAGAGAATCAGTAGTCAAATTCAGCTGGTTTGTGGTGGCTTGGTGAGCTGGTACATTTTGGGTGGACTCCAAAATATAAACTTTAATTTCACAATAGCTAAATCCTTTGCTTTCAAATTCTGAACAAGTGCATGGATGTTTTTCTGAGTCTGAACACAACTTGAAACAGAGCTCAGAGGCATGAACTGCCCCAACTCATCTCAGTACATGTTAACTCTAGAGCATAATTATAATTTGAATATCAATTCTGTTAATGTTCATTGATGCAATTATGCAAAAAAAAATGGCATCAGCTGACAATTATTCCTACATTCAGAATATGAAGAGGGATGATCATATGAATATCTGCATAATCTACCGAAAATGGCATCTTGTTTTGGCATCTCAAGCATGGGCTTTGCTTGAATTTGGGAAAGTAACAATACATTTTTCTCTGGATTAAAAACCTTAAAATGAATTCAACCTAATATTTTTAAATATGGGAATCTAACTAAAATGGCAGAAGTGGTTATTGGAGATTAATAGGTGTTGGAAATATGCAATTTAAGTGTTACAATGTTTTGCGTTTTGGGAATGCTGAAATATTATAAGGACACAGTAAGAGTAAAGTTGACCTGAAATTCAGGTTTTGAGAAAAAACAGTAGTAATGTTTCCAGTCATCTCTCTCAGTAGTATTTGCCCTAATATATTAAAACCAGAAAGTGAGACCAATTTATATGTATGTAGTGCAAGATATAAAGAAAGCAAATTACTAAACATCATAAAGAGTGAAATGTAAACTGTTTAACTTTCTCAATTTTAATTGGAGTATTTTTTACAATTAAGTTTTAAGATGAGTACCTATAGACTATAGCTAAAATCGAATTAAACCTAAACAGTTTTCTCCAGACACAGTTGTGTCCTACCCCATATTCATGGACACAGATTCTATAAAGGCTTGCATAAAAATCCTCTCACTACAAATAGGAAAACTTTCCAGCCTTAGAAATATATTATTTTGGTTGGATGTATCATACTGGTATGTAGGTTAATATGAGCATTTGAGCCCGTGAAAGGTAATGATGAATTCATACATGTGTGGCAGATTTTTTTGGAGGTGTGACTAGAGGATAAGTTTGTTTAATTTCAACATTTGTGATTTAGCACTTTTATTTTCTACTGTGTATATGAGAATCTTGGGTCAGAATTCAATACAGAGCAATATGTGAGGTGTAGCTGACTTTCATGGTCTCTGTAAGGTTTTTTGGCTTACCTCACATTTTACTGTATATATTTTAGACCTTTTTTTAAATTTACACTTCAAAATGTTGAGTATAACTTTTTTTGAAAAGTTAGCAAACTTGTTTTCCCTGCCAAAATCCTTTGGTACTTCCCTGGCTCTCCATGCTGTTTCAGTTTTTCCACACAGTCATTCTCTGATCTTGCTCTGTTTGAAGTTAGTGGGGTTTTTAGATTTGAAATATTAAAATCTCTTGGGCACCACACAGTTTTTTCTTTTCACCTGCTATCAAAGTAACTTTTTTTTTCTTTTTTTCTTTTTTTTGCGGTCAGTTACTACTGTATTAAAAATTTAAAAATAGAGGCTTTTCAACTCGGGATCTAAGAAAAAGGGAAGGAGGGATCTTTTTATTGATGATGTGGAGCCCAGAGGCTTGGACAGTCATCTTTCTGTCATCATATTCTTACAAAGAGATGCATTTGGGTTAATGCATAAAAAAAGAAGCTGCAACATCCGTGCCTTACTCCCACCCCCTAAAAAAATGAAGCAACCTCTGGACAAAGTAGAAATGAGTTCCTTAGAAGTAGCTTTGAGTAATGCTTTTCTTTATATGTATCTTCACCAGAAGATGAGTCTCCCAGGGGCACACAGGCTGTGGGACATGCCCATGGGGCGGAGGAGCACCACCCACCTTTCCTGACCCCGGCTTGGTGTCCATCTGCCTGTCCGGCTGTGTCCCTCTCCTGCCAGTGCCGCACACTGCTCCTCTGGTTTCCGGCCCAGACCCACCTTTTATGAGGCACACCTCCCATCTGATTCAGCCCCATGAGGCACCACCCCCCAATGACTCACCCCCTCCCAGTCTGTAGATTTGGGGGACTCTGGCCATGATTTGGGTGGGCCATGGCCCACCCGTGGGGCCCTCCCCCCCATTGAAAAAGTCATATAATAAAAATCAGAATTGGTATTTTGGAATTCTGAAACAAAGTTTCTGGAACTGAAATGTTTGGGAAATTTTAGAAAGAACTAAAAACAAATCTTGAAATCTTATAATTTCCCACAAACCAGAGATTTAAAGTTTTGACCAGTTCTAGATTCAACATAAGTTAATGTATTTTGCTTCCAAATCTTCTGTCACACCACAGTAATGACTTTCTAGTATACATTACCATCAGTCCACCTATTACCAGTACACAGCTGTTGAAAATGGCTTAACAATTCTGCATTTTCTATGATATTGTTGGTTTGTAAGGGTTAGATAGCTAAGTAAGGGATAATACAGTCTTTCTGTCTTTTAAGGAGTTCCTAATCATTTTCTAATGACGATATTGAAAATGTAGCATGAAAATTACGGCCTTTTATAACTTTAAATGAGAAGTTATGTGGTTCTAATGGTTTGTCTGAATTTATGTAAATACACAAGCATTTAAGCAAATTTGTAATCTGCTTTTTTGTTCAAGGATGTGGAAGGTACGTGAATCCATTGTTTGTTCCACAGGCATAATCTGATTCGTTGTATGAAATGACTAGCCTGCTGACACTTCAACTGTTTGAATAGAAACCCTAAATCACAAAGTAGTTTTTATTCTATGCGGTGTTTCATACTTTTAAAATTGATATTTGACTAACTGTACCAATTCAATAACCGCTAACCTAATCAGCATCCAAATTATATTATTTTGTTTTCTCTCTTTTACTCTAGTATACCACTGTTGAGAAAGATGGAGAGCATTACATGACACCAGGAGATTTTGTGCAGAGATACCTAGGACTATATACAGACCCAAATTATAATCCTGAAACACTGCAACTATTGGCGGGAGTAGCAGATCAAACAAAGGATGGGTGAGAACTTTGCTTTCCATTACAAGCATATAATTGGCAAATGATTTAGTATGTCTTCTGGTTACTTTATTGCCTTCTAAAACAATATCTTAGTATTTGTGTTGCGCTGTATGAGCTTAATTGTTTACCTAAATAATGAGATTTTCTCAAATTCAGTAGATAATTTTGTTTCAGATTAGTGAGAATATAGAGTATAACAAAGTATAACAATTTTTAAGGTGCTTTTAACTGAGGGGTTAACATAGTATTTAGTATTTGAAGAAGTTAATTCAGGTCCATGATCAACAACTGTAGAGGCTTTAAAAGCAGGCAAATTACGGCCCACGGGCTGGATCTGGCCTGCCAGCTGTTTTAATCCGGCCCTCGAGTTCCTGCTGGGAAGTGGGGTCTGGAGCTTGCCCCACTCCAGCTGGGGAGCAGGGTTGGGGGCCACTCCATACGGCTCCCGGAAGCAGCAGCATGGCACCCTTCCAGAGCTCCAGCTGGGGAGTAGGGTCGGGGCTGTGCCACGTGGCTCCCAGAAGCAGCAGCACAGCCCCCCACTCCAGCTCCTACACGTAGGGGCAGCCAGGGAACTCCACTCTGCATGCTTCCCCCACCCTAACGGCCACCCCTGCAGCTCCCATTGGCTGGAGCTGCAGGGGCGGTGCCTGTGGATGGGGCAGCATGCAGAGCCGCCTGGCCGCGCCTTAGTGTGGGAGCTGGAGAAGGGACATGCCGCTGCTTCCGGGAGCTGCTTGAGGTAAGTGCCGCCCAGAGCCTGCACCCCTGAGCCTCTCCCCGCGCCCTTGCCCCAGCCCTGATCCCCCTCCTGCCCTCCGAACCCCTCGATCCCAGTTCAGAGCACCTTCCTGCACCCCTTCAAGCACCCCAACCCCCTACCCCAGCCCTGATCCCCCTCCCACCCTCTGAACCCCTTGATCCCAGCCCGGAGCACCCTCCTACACTCCAAACTCCTCATCCGCAGCCACACCCCAGAGCCCTCACCCCCCCCCTTGCACCCTACTCCCCCACCCCAGCCCAGAGCCCCCTCCCGCACCCTGAACTCCTAATTTCTGGCCCAACCCCAGAGCCTGCACAACCAACCAGAGCCCTCATCTCCTCCTGCACCCCAACTGCAATTTTGTGAGCATTCATGGCCCGCCATACAATTTCTATTCCCAGATGTGGCCCTCGGGCCAAAAAGTTTGCCCTGGTCTTTAGTATCCATAATTAAACACAGCTTGGAAAAATAGAAAAGATGTTATGCAATTTCTGTAGTGTGTGGTCTTTATAATACCTCTCTGCCACCATTCACATACCGATCAAACCACTGAGAACCTCTTGGCAAGAGAGACACCAAACACTTTTTATGTAGGAAGAAAAGTATAACCTAATCAAGATAAGGTTATACTGCACAGAGTTTTTTAATCATTGCTTATGAACAGTAGTCCTTGTTTATAAATTGCTCTCTGAAACTGTTTCACAAAATGCACAGTCTTCTAAGATGTATTTTATTTTTTTAACCTACTCTGTTCCAAAGTAGACTTGCCTGCCTGCTCTTCTCCACTGCTGCATTTCGGTGTCCAGGTTTGGCACTATATTGTAGCAAGAAGCATGGATGTTGTTAAAGTGGAGCCAAGAGGTTAAGAAGCATCAGAGCAGAGGTCAAAAATACCATCAGAGAGGAGTGGGCATTTGGTAGAGAAGAGATGGAAGGCTGCTATTAAAATAGAATACAATCTATTTTTTATAGATAAATTTCATTTATTTGAAATTGAAAGCCTCTTATTTTCCTTGGTTCTGTAAGTGTAAATCTGACCCTGGATGGTACTTAGATGTTTTTCGTTTTCCTTTATCGTAGTATTTTAGAATATTTTATTTTATATTGCAAGGACCCTGATCAAAAAGGTTTGGCATCTGCGCTTGATAAATAAAATTATCGTTCTATGAAATGCATATAATTTGTGTTAAATAGCGAAGACAGAATTTACTCTTTTTTCTATAGTTACATAATGTTTGTTAAATAAGGTTGCAACATTTCTCCTTGGACTTTTAGGAGGTATTTGATAACCCAAAGAAGTTACATTACTGTCTCTAACACATGGATGTAATGGGATGTATCACCAGCAATATGGCTGAAGATACATATCTTTTTGAAATCATGATCAGTAAATAAGCAAATCTGTAATATTTTGCTTTCTCCCATAGCTGTTGGTCATCTTTTAGAAATGTGTTTATTTGAAGAGTGGTTTTTTAAAAGGACCTTTTATACAGTTAGGAATCAAGAGTGTCTTTCACTTCTTATAGCAGACCCTGAGACTGAGAAATTGCTGGTTTTCTGCCACTTTCTGTTTTGTGTGTAGTTTTTTGTTTGGACAGTATTGTTCAGAGTGAGATCAGTGTATTCATGCAGGCGATAAAATATGATGAAATAATGTGTAACTTATTATCCGGAGTTTGGATTTTTACAGAGACAGAAGAAGTTGGAAGGTGGCCAACGTATTTGAGCATTAACATGTCCAGACTTAGTTTGCCTTCCCAGTTTTTGAGCATTTCTCTGCTCATTGGTAATGGTCATTTTAGCTCCCGCCATGAGTAAAGGCCGATATTTCCAGCCTTATATGCCAACTGTAAAGAAGCAAAAACTCCACCACTTGTTGGAATAAATGTAGTTTACATCTATTGATCATGAAATCTGCTGCTTAAAATTCAGAAGAGCAAGTACTTATAACATCTTAATATTCCACCTTCACTAGTGTTTGGATTTTTGCAGTTGAGAGCTTTCATATCAAAACATTCTCAAAATATGAATAGGACTAGTAAAATATGGTTTAAATCTTGATTGGTATTTACAAATTAATGCAATATTCTCTTTTTTATTCACTTACTGTTTCATTTTTATGAGGCTTGAGCCTGCTCTCCAGAATATGACAATCTACACCTTGGAAAATGAGCTCACTGGTTAATTTTTGCAAAGTACAGAGTGAAGCATGCTGCATATTAGAGGGCAAAAATTATCTCTAAAATCTGTTTTAGATTATTTAACAGGATACAAAAATGTGATTAAAATATTCTTGCTTGCATAAAACTAATCTTTTTTCAGATTTACTTGTAGGCATTTTAACATTCTTTTTGGATGCTTTCTTTAATACATCCTTCTCTTCCACTCACAATGTAAGCAATTAATGTTGTGTACTTGAGATTCTTAGTTGAAAGGGTCTAGAAAAGTGTTTCTTTTCTCTTCCTGTTGCCATCATCCAAAATTGGTGGGAGATAGGAACTCAGAGTTGGATTTATTTAGGAGTCCTGGGTTCAGATCCTAAAAGAGTCACAAATGAAAATACATTTGGTTTTGTCCTAGTTTATAGTTCTGATTCAGATGAAGAATACTGTTTCATCTGATCATTAGTCTCAGTTCAGGAAAACACATAACTAAAATAGGATTTTAGGCTAACATTGAGTTGCATTTTCAGAATTATGTGAGACAGTTCACACAGCACCAGACTGCTGCATGCTTAGTGCCAGAGTGTTATTTCCTCACCGCTAAAAACACAAAATTCATCTAGAAATGAATGTGATTAGGGAACAGAAAAAATAAGGATTTGATTATATATCATATTTGCTTGTGAGGGACGTCTGAAATAGTAATTTGGTGTTATAAATAACTTTGGTTCAAAAGTAGAAGTTATTAGCAAAATAGGATGATGTGAATTGCAACTTAAATGTGAAGTTTTAGGTGTACAATTAAAAATAAAATGACTTTATGCATTATATGCTAATAACTGATGATGTGATGGGGAACTATTATTGTGTGATCTGGAATACAAAATATTTGGACACTCAGTTGTCTGAAACTGCTCCTTCCAGACTCTTTAGATGTATATTTATCTGTAGTCAGGATTTTTTCATGTGAAAGATTTATTCTGTGCCTATATGGTAACAACATCAGGTTTATCCCTGAATTTTTTTTCCAGAAACATATTCTTTTATAGCCTTCATCGTGAGTCTTAGCATCTTATACCAAATTTTAGTCTTTGATAACTGTATTATTTCTACAGGTAGTTTCATGTATAACATTATTAATTACTTTAGTCTACAACCAAATTGTAATAATACATTATACACTTTTCCGAGGATCTAAAATTGCTTTACAATGTTTAGGTAAGCATTAATGTCCCTTTTGTGTACACTACACACAGAGAGCTAAAGCGACTATCCAAAGTCACACTGCAGATCAATGGCAAAACCTGGGAATTGAACCAAGGTCTTATGAATAACCATTAACTAGTCTGCCCCTAAAAATTAAGTTCTCAAATTTTAAGTAACTCAAGAAGGATTAACAATCCTAGAAAAAATGGTCAAGAATAATCAAAATTTATGACAGTTCTGGAAAAAGATGGAGTATTTGGGGACCAGTTTGCTTTAGGTGCACCGTAGAAAGTTTTTTTTTTTAAATAGTTGTTCTGTCCTTTAGTTTGATACATTTGTCATTTTTTTGGGATTGAACTCACCAACAGCAGTGTTTGGGCTTTCTTGGTAGAGGGCGCCTTTTGAAACCTCCTAGTTGTTGGTGCTCTCCCACAATCCAGAACTGATGGTCTTCAGGACACAATGCAAGTTTTGTATATTTGGTTTAGTTTCTTGTTTACTTTATCCCACAGTTTGGCTATCAACCTATTTAAAAGATGTTGTTTCTCAGGGGCTAAAATCTAATTTGCCTATCTTTAATCTGGAGTAAATTGTGTGTTGTGTAAGACTGGATGGTAGTCTGTCCTTTGGATGGATGTAACTATGTTGGTAATTGCATAGTTCTTGTTCCCATTCTAATTTTTCTTGGTTAAAATCTGATAAATAGAACCAGGGCCCTTAGATTTCAACTTTTCCAAAATCATCACCTTGTGGAAGAAACTCATTTTTGTAAATTGTTAGATTGGTGGTCTATGATAGAAATGTCAAAATTGAGATTTTTCCTGTGTTTAGTGGCCCATAATGTTGGTGCCATATTTCTAGATTCTAGTTCAGTGGGAATATGGAAACTAAGGGATCTTGTTATAAGGTTCTGCATTTTGGTTAGTGTATATATAAGGGCTAGATGAACTAATGGCTACTATGGCCTAATTCATTAAACTGTTTCATAAAATATGCATCTGTCCAATTGAGGTCTTCGTACATGAACAGTCCCTGTGCAAAATAACTGCTATGCTTAATTCACTGAGTTCATCCTTTAGCATTGAGAGTACTGGAAGGCTATATTTTGTAAATTGAGATCAATAAATATTTTTTTGAGAATTCTTACCTTGACAATCTGCAGAAATGTTATGCATGTTACTTTATTCTATAGATGCAGTTCATTTTTGTGGTTTAAACTTATTTTGGAGATTACAATGAAAATACAAAAAATACCTAACTGATGTTAAAATAAAGTAGATAAAGAAATTAATGATGGAATGTGAATAAAATGGGCTTTGTGCTATACTGCAACTATTTTTCTAGACACATGCTAATTTGAAATTCAGAGCTGTTGCAATTATACACGTTTTGCTTGCTTAATTTTAAAAGTAGTGTATTATTTCAGTGTTCTTAAAGGAATTTCAAGGTATGTTTATATTCTACATTTTGTGAGGAAAATCTCATTTCAGTTTGTTCATAAAAAATCCAACTTTTTCTGGGACAGCATGTGGCAACCCTCTAAATTTAATTTCAGCAGAAATGCTTTGTTACTTGACACTTTGTAAATTCAAGTAGAACAGCACTTGAAAAATAATTATGAAGTATTAAATACTAGGTTTGTACTGAGAGTTCTGTCCACAGATCTGAATGCAATTGGAAACTGAGTCACGGGGTTGTGACTTCCTAAGGCCACACAGCACATTTGTTCCCATTTTTAACGTAGAATCAGGTTTCTTGACACCTGTTCTTAATCTCTGGAGAATTGTGAAGCCTTCCAAATTATCAAACCCCAACCTTCCTGGCCCTTGTTGAATATCTTTTAAAGCCTTTAACTTCTGTTTTTCCTTTGTAGGTTGATCTCCTATCAAGAGTTTTTGGCATTTGAGTCAGTTTTGTGTACTCCAGATGCAATGTTCATTGTTGCTTTTCAGTTGTTTGACAAGAGTGGCAATGGAGAAGTGACATTTGGTAAGAATACTCACAGAAAGCACTTTAACAGATTAAGGTAAATAGTTTAGATAGCAAGAATGGCCAAGACTCCCTGGAAAACTAATTTGAAATGCATATTGTTCAGCACATAGGGTATCTATAGGTAAAATTTTTCATTTTTTCAAAGTGTTGGTTAGAACACAAGCGTAAGAAATCCAGAAATGTAATTACTATATTTTGTTGAATCATTGACTCTTACACATTTCTAAAATAGGTGGTGCAAAACTTGCTTGTGCAGGACTGTCCTGAAACACAGTGAACTATGGATACTAATTCCTTCATTCCTGAAGGGATTTATGTAAGAAGTTAAGGATCTCCATGTACCACCTTTGGAGAACTGTTACTACATTTATTGAGAAGATAATAGGGTTGCAGGTAGAAATGAAGATGTTCTAATTCATGTTCTAGAAATCCCAATTCAATTTTCCTGTTTTAGGGATAAATTCTACTCTATCTGATATGGGTACAACTCCTGAGTTGAAGCCATGTAAATAAGAATGGAATTTGGCTTTTAGACTTTTATTGTTCCAGTCTAATTTTTATCATTGATTAAGAACTGAACTGAACAGGATTCTGTAGGTGAAAGATTTTCATTTTATCATGTTACTGAATAGGTAAAAGCTTACTGATTATAATAGATTGTAGATTTGTTATTTAATGTTAAATTAAAATAATGTATATTTAGATTAGAAAATATTTAATGCTGAGAATTTTAATAAATGGAGTGAGACATGTTAATTTTATCCAAAAGAATAAAGCTTTCAATAAAGATAATGCAATTTATGCTTGGATTTGTGGCCACTTACTGTCTGTACCGGCAATTTCTGAACATTTTTGCATCAATTTTTGAGGTGGTGATGAAACTCAAATCATGCATTATACTTTTTTTTTCTTCAGAAAAAGGCTCTATAGTACTGCTTGAATCATTACTTGTATAAAGTGACATGATTAACAAACAGGGCAAAATATTAAGCACTCAGGGTCTGCCACATCCTAAAGAGAAATAATATGTAAGAACTTCGTAAAAAGAAACAGTAAATTCAAGTACTAGCTAGCGGTCAAACTGTCAAAGCAATCCATTAAATTAATTCTTGCCAAAAAAAAGTGATGATGCCCCGATTTCTCACAAAAGTACATGAACAGAGTCAAGTTGAAACAGCTGGTTCCAAAAATGAGTTAAAAGTAATTTCACAGAGTATACGTGCCCCTGTGTCCCTCTCTGCTAATTTTGGTGGTTTTACGATCAGAGCTTCCTATTGTTAAATTGTGTTTTTCCTCTTCTGTTGCTGTATTAAAGGATCACAAAACAAGGGAAACTGACTAGACACAAAGTGTTGTCAAATGCACAAGGTAATCTGTAAAAATAGATACAAATTTGTCTTCTTACAATTATTATAATGTTAGTTGTAAAAATACAACTAAAACCAACCTTTCAGATAGAATTGTGATTTTTAAGTTGATACTCCTTTTAACAGCAGAGTGCTGTAGGGAAGTTTTATACTACTGCCCCCAGTTCATTACTTTTACAAAATATACCATAGTGCAATTACTAGTATATTTTATAGTTAGTGGTGTACTGTGAAATGTTTTAATTCTTTATAATATATGTTTTGTGGTGCAGTACCCCTGACTTTCTTTTGTTGCTTACTTGGCAGTTTCCCTTGGCAATTTTCCTATATGTAAAATGGGATACTTAACCACCTTCACAGGGTTATTATGAGTGTGTAGAGTATGGGGGAAATATAAAGCACTATATAATTTCATATGAAATACTCACATTTGCTAATCAGCAGTTGGTCTCAAATCACTTTTGTGAATTAAGGAGATGCTTCTGTATTGGTTTATTTCTGGGCTCTCCCCTCCCCCCCCATCACCTATGTATCCGACAGTGGGTTAGCTTCATATGAGTGCAGGAGACCATTTCAGTTATGTCAAATTAGGAAACTCTCCAAAGACCTCACGAGACGAGATCATGGTGAAGTGTGATATTTCCATTTTGGCTCTTTGCTTCAAAGAATCTTACAAGATATTTACTCCTCGTGGGGTGAGGGGAGAAGATCAGTTTTCTTTGGTTTGTAATTTTTGACCTTAGCCAATCAGAAGTGTGAATAAACAAAGCTATTACCCATTGCTTGACCAAAATACACACACTTAATTGTGACGTGTATATTAATCTATGTAGTGTACAAGGTTTCTATTCATGTATGTCATGTCCCATATGTATAAATATTTATAATGTAGAGAATTATTAGAAATTATACTGAAATGGAATAGAGCTAGTCAACTAGAGCGCACGATTGGTAGACAGTTGTAGAATCATAGAATATCAGAGTTGGAAGGGACCTCAAGAGGTCATCTAGTCCAACCCCCTGCTCAAAGCAGGACCAATTCCCAGCTAAATCATCCCAGCCAGGGCTTTGTCAAGCCGGGCCTGGAACTGTGGTTACATTTCAATGACACAATAGGTAGATTCCTTCACTCTGATTTTTTTTCTCCCCTTTAGGCTTGACCCTGCATATATACGCATGACAAATGTGGCCATCTTAGCATCTTGCTGTTTTTCTTGCCCTCTTTCTGTCACTCTTCTACTCTTGCTAGCTCTTGATAAAACGTTTGTGCTCTACTCCCAATGAGTAACTTGTTTGTTAAATTATGTGTAAAGCTTTTACACAGAAACACCTAAAATCTCAGAGAGAACAAGGGTGACAGCTTTATGTTTATATAGAAACTATTTGTCGGAACGATTGATCAATTATCAGTGGATAACATGTGAGATTATACATTACTGAGAATTGTCTAAAATCTAAATTTATTGAAATAAAAGAAAAAGGGGGGAAACGATTAGTAGTCAATACCTAGTTGAACAAGTCACAACCTCATTTAAACCATTCATTCCTGTTTCAATCTTGGCTGTAATAGAAAGAAAACAATTTTTGAGAAAGTATCAGAGGGATAGCCGTGTTAGTCTGGGTCTGTAAAAAGCAACAAAGAGTCCTGTGGCACCTTATAGACTAACAGACCTATTGGAGCATAAGCTTTCGTGGGTGAATACCCCATGCATCTGACGAAGTGGGTATTCACCCACAAAAGCTTATACTCCAATACGTCTGTTAGTCTATAAGGTGCCACAGGACCCTTTGTTGTTAATTTTTGAGAAAGGGATTTAGCATCCCTTAATGATAAACATGCTAAGGATTTGTGAAATCACAGTTCACCTTTAGAATACTTTCAAGTCAGGACTTTTCCTAGTCAGGTAATTCTAAGACCCTGGTTGATTTATTTTTTTACCTTCATTGATGGTGTCTACTTCACTGATGATAAGCCGTCTTAACTTGAAAGAAGTATTTAAAATAAGATATAAAACAAATGCTACAAAACTGAGAGAATTTTACAGATTTTTTTCTATACATTTTTAGTTGAAACTGAAATTGGGTTAGAGCAAATGTTCATGTTGGGTAGTTTTTGCCTTTCACCTCTGTCTTCTGAGATAACCCAAACAGCTGTGGCTTTGCTTGATGCTAAGCAGATAATCCCCATGCTGGGGGGTAAAAGTGACTGGAACCCATGATTGCCAAGACTGCTTAAAATTTCTCTAGAAGTAGGTATTTGACTGGAAATCAAAGGATTCTTCTTGAACTGTCAACTGAGTAAACTTTAAACTGATCTGGATTGTGTCACTTAACTGGCGTTTACAAGTCCAAGCACTTTCTTCCAATTTTTCACCTTTTCATGCAGAGGCTAAAAGGACAGCCATTCTCTGAAACCATGGAATGTTTCAGAGACTGATTTTTAGTTAAACACCTGAGCTATCTTAAAAGCTTGTAGCTCTGAAGAGCAGAAGAACAGATAAAATAACCAAAATTGTATACTGTTTTACAGTTTTCCTGTTCATGATTTCCCAGTGTTCAGTTTTAAAATTCTTTTGGAGCAAGTTGGAAGGTATTTGGATACCTGAACGCTGACTAATGCAAGGCATTTAAATATTGTTGCTCAGAGCAAAAAAAAAAGACTGTCTCCTTATCTCTTATGAAAGCATTTACAAAAGCTTTGTCTATACTGTTGTAGATGGATGGGATTATTAACCAAATTTCTGATTTAAACCAGTGAATTTACTCCAACAAATGTAATAAATTACTCCTTGGGAAAGAGACAGTTAAATCTTCCTTAAGAGTAAGAAACAGTAGAGGTTTTGAGAGTGTTGGAGGATGGGGAGGGGGTGAGGAAGAGTGAGTGAGAGGTAGTTGAGAACACTTCAGTATAACTGTTTGTTTTCCTATTTTGCCAACCCCAAATGCTCAAAAATCATGAGTCAGGCTCTAAAACTAACTCATGAGATTGGATAAAAAACACCCAAATTTTAAATACAACACAGCAACACACCTTCATGTTAAATTTAGTGTACATTTATTACCTAACCTGAGCTTGGTTTCTGTTTAACGTGGTATCATAGGTACATGCAGTGAATATGGGAACATGATGGACTCATCAATGCATTTTAGTTATTTATGATAATCCTGGTAGTTCCTGTGAAATTAGAAATGGCACCCTTCCTTTCTTTGGTCCTTCCACATGGTTTTCTGTTTAATCTTTCTTCTATCCCACTACCCTTTCTCCTCTACAGTCTAACAACTAGAACCACTCAGCATAATCTGTTATCGATCGGTGAGAGGCACCCATTCGGTTTTAATAGTAAATAGTTTAAAATCCAGGGACAGTTCTTGAACCTTCATCATAGTGTTAATTTACAGAACAGGAGCTCAGCTGCAGAGGAAGCAGTAACTTGTAAGTGTTCATTTACACAAAAATGATTAATTCATTACCTTTGTACCTTGGCCACTACTAATAATGGTCCTGACCTTTTAAATAGGAATAGAAATATGTTTCCATTCATTTTCATTCCTATTTATACACCCCATGCATCACCCTCTTCCCACTCTCCCACCTCAACACTAGCAGGTATACTGCTGCATTTGTTACAC